AGAGAGAGAGAGAGAGAGAGAGAGAGAGAGAGAGAGAGAGTCAATCAGATAGATGGATAACAGACCGGCCTACATCCAAGAGTCAAATATCTTAACGTAAGAAGAACGAACTCATAACTTCTCAACGCATCTCTATTCATGCCACAGACGATTGCTCTGTCTTGGCAGATGCCCAACTTATGAATAATAATATCCAGTCACTAACAGTTTCTTCATCGCTGAATGGCTTGGGGATTGGGCGCGCAAGGTACAAACATCTCTCCAAGGCCAAAACACAGCCGGATTTGCAAGGAACCTCTCATTGCTTTGATATTATCAAGATAGTCCTCTTTGCTATTTTCCCTACTTTCAAAGTAGTAACAATGAACAGCAGCAAGGCAGGCTTCGACATGAACGTCAAGAAAACAAAAACAGTGGTCTTATCAAAATCTTCTGGAAAAATAACGACATAACCATACATGGGGAGACAATCGAACAAGTGCACCACTTTAATTATCTTGGGGCAACAATCACAGATGATGGAACTAGTAGAAAAGAAATACACATAAGAACAGCAAATGCAAAAATGAGATTAAGCCAAACTATGTAAACCCAGGCAACTATGGAATGCTACATCTTCCCCATATTCCCATATGGCGCAGAGACCTGGACTTTGACAAAGAAAGAAGAAAACAAAATAAATGCCTTTGAGATGTGATGCTACCGCAGAATGGCTAGAATAAGTTGGAAAAGAAAAAAGACAAACAATGAGATATTTCAGATTCTACACAGGAGGCAAACCATGCTGAATAAAATACAATGTAGAAAACTGCAAAACTTTGGCCACTTAAAACGACACGAGACTATTGTGAAAGAGGTGCTTGAAGGAAAGGTGTTGGGCAGGAGAGCCAGGGGAAGACAAAGAAAAACATGAATTGACAACATAAGAACATGGACTGGCCTGGATATGGCAGAATGTGCAACGGCAGTTCGCCTCCGTGAAAGATGGAGGGTCATTACACGTCAACCTCTCAGTCAGAGATGCACGATTGGGTCGGGTTGGGTCTGTTTACTAGCCAGATTTAGGCGCAAACCGGCAATCGTAGAACAAATCGATCGTCCAACTCGTTGCCTTAAAAAAAAACCGCGTTTGTTTTTGAAGCGACGAGTGGGTCCATCGACCCGACCCGGCCCCATCCCATCTGCAATGGGCACCCTGTATTAATATATACAGATACTTTGTTCCTTGACTTTGGGATGCTTGCATAGCACAATTTTCCGAAGGAAGAGATGAAGACTTACCGATCAAGTCACTGCAGAACTGATCACATGACACAGCAGACTGGACTGTGGTGAAACACTGGCCGGCTGTATGTTGAGAGACAGTCATTGATGGTAGAGTCAGACAGGAATATTGGGGTGACACAGAGGTTGAGGTTGAGTCACAAGAAGAAGTAACATGACAGGGAAAGAGGGAAATGAAAAATGAAAATATAACAAAAATTTAAAACTAAAATAGTGATGGGATATAACATTGTTATCCAGAAGAGGTCGGTTTGGGAGATGGTTGAAACATAGGAAATATAGGAGCCTCTGTTTGGCTGATGGTCTAGATTCTGTTTATTGTTCTCAATCACAACGACTTGGAACCGTCAATGCTTACTGCCATAAAAGAGGCATTCTGTAGAGCTGAAGCATAATTAAAATGGCGAAATCTACATCGTCATCTTGAGTTTAGCTTTTGCGAAGTTAAGAACGCAATAAGTTAATTATTCTAATGCTTTGCGGTATATTTTTGTAAGAGTTGCGGGTTCGACCTGTAAGGACGGTTTTTGTCTCTTTTTTCTCAACTGTTCAGCCCTCTGATTAAGTAATGGACAAGAAACCCACATGACGTGAATTAGACCAGTGTATTCTTGTTTATCGGATAAAGATGGATAAAGTGATTGGAACTAATTAGAGTTGACCATGACATAGGTGAAATAGTACGATTTGGTTAAAAGAATAATTCGCTCTCCAGAAAAGAGGAGGCTAAAGGGCAGATGATTAGAGGGGCAAAGCAGCGTAAGTAGATAAGAG